CTACCCAGCCTCCCTCGCCTGCGCCGCCGTTCACCCCTTGCGTCGAGGGCCGGCTGCGCCGTGCTCCTCACTCCTCCTCTGTGAGAGTACGACCCCGTTATACCACTTGTCCCTTTTCTTATTTCCTTCCTCTTTCATTTCTCTTTTTATCTCATCTCATTTGGTTTCCTATTCTCTCTTTTCCATTAACCTTGGGTTTATCCTGCTATTATAATTATATCACCGACCAGGCTTGGGATGTACTGGTGCGCTATATCTAGCGTATTCCTGCCGTAATCGCGTGGCGTGGCTATACGCAAAGTGATTCTATCTTCTAGAAGGGTCTATTCCCTTAGGGTAAGATAAACCTGGTTACCTGATGTACTCTGGAAGTATAAAAGCACCTTGTACTAATCGATAGTGCAACCTTTCCTCAGTCATTCGATCCTGTGATATCGACGCTTCGTCCCACCACCGCACCCCTCCAGACCCTGCACCTCAACGTCTGGGGCCCAGCCCCCATCCCTGGACCGCGTCGCGAGCACTACTTTCTAGTGCTCGTTCACGACAACACGCGCTACACCACGGTGTTTCCCTTGGAGCGGAAGGCCGACGTGCCTGACATTCTCATTCCGTGGGTCGTAGCTAGGCGCTTCCACCGCGGTCTCCCTGTGCTGTGTCTCCACTTCGACCGTGGCGTAGAGTTCGTCTCTGGTCGACTTGGACAGTTCTGTTGTGCAGAGGGCATAACCCAGTCGTACACCCTACCAGACTCCCTGCAGCAGAATAGGGTCGCTGAGCGACGCATCGGCTTGGTCATGGAGGTGGATCGTAGCTCCATGATTCATGCCGATGCACCCCATTTTCTGTGGCCATTCACCGTTTGCTACGCCGCTCACCAGCTTAACCTCTGGCCGCGCTCCCAACGGCCGCAGGTTTTGCCGACCCTTCTTTGGACTGGGTTTCCTAGTGACGCGTTTGCGTTCCACGTCTGGGGCTGCCTCGCTCACGTTCGTGCCTCTTGCGCGGACAAGCTCACTGCCCGCACTGTCCCCTGTGTCTTCCTCGGTTTCCCCATTGACTCGTCTGACCGGCACTTTTACCACCCGCCGTCTCACCGCTCCTTTCACTCCCGTGACGCCACTTTTGACGAGTCTTTTTTCTTTAGCATCGATTTCCCCACCGCGGTGTCCCGGTTTCCCCTCCCCTGTTTCTGGTCCCCACTCCCCCGGTAGCCCCTGCTCACGTTCCTCCCCGTCCTGCTCCATCTAGTGTGTCTTACGTCACTCCCCTCTATCGTTTGTCCCAGTCGAGGAGTCGGCTGACTCTGGTGGCCCTGCGGTTTAGTTCTCGCTGCCTGTCCCTCCCCCGGTGTCTCCTCCTCCACCGTCGTAGCAGCCGTCGCCGCCGCCGCTGCCGCCGCAGCAACCGTCGCCGCTGCCGCCGCAGCAGCCGTCGCCGCCACCGCAGCTGCCGCCGCTGCAGCAGCCTCCGCTGCCGTTGCAGCAGCAGCAGCCGTTCGTGGACTCTGGGGTGCTGGCGTTGAGGAGGGTGTTAGTCCTAGGGTTCCTTTTGTGGCTTGTCCCAGCGAGCCTGGAGGTGGCACCGGTGCTGGAGAGGGTTCTCGCTCTGGGAGTGCTCGTTCTGGGGGTGCGGGGAGTGGAGTAATCTGGAGGTAGTCGCGGTGCAGCTGGCGGTCCGGCTGTCGGCGTTGAGCGGCAGAAGCAGCAGTCGCCACCAATGTCCGCCCTTCGCCTGCTCGGCCTGCCTTCCCCTGACCGCTCGCCTGCGCCTCCCCCGCCGCCTCCTCCCCTTCCTATCCACGGTCCTGTGTTTCCTCCGTCGGACTCGTCCCCGGCCCGTTTCCCACCTCAATCCCCTCCTAAAACTCCTCCTAAAACTCCTCCTCTATCTCCTGACCTGACGTCTCCATCTCACGTCTGGTCTCGCCGTCCCTCTCGTGCTCGTCCTATCTCTCGTGTTCCGCATTCTCACCCTATGTTGCTTCGTTCTCATGTGTCTTGTCCTCCCCTCCTCTCGTCTCCTCCTCCGTCGTCGCTCGCTGTCGCGCCTCCCCCTCTGTCTGACTACCTTCGTGCTGCTTGTCCCCTTGTTCCATGGGTACTTGCCTCCCTCGTTACCGACCCGTCTGTCCCTGTCTCCAGTCTTGACTCTCTTGTCGCTGCTGTCGCCAACTTTGCCTATACTCGTCGCCTTGACTACGCCACAGTTCTGGTCTCTGGCCATGCCTGCGCTCCGTCCGTCGGGGGTGCTCTTGCCCTTGGCAGTGACGTCCTAGAGGACAGGCAGTACGAGCTTGCTTTCCTGTCGGAGGCTGCTCCCCATCTCTGCTCCATGCTGCTAGTCCCTGAGGGTGACCCAGACGCCTTTGACATCCTGACCCCTCGCACCTACGCTGAGGCGACCTTGGGACCCTGGGCCTCTCAGTAGATAGCTGTCATGGAGCAGGAGATGGCATCTTGGAGATCCACCAGCACCTACGTCGACGCAGTTTCCCCACCTGGGGTGAACGTAGTCAACGACCGATGGCTCTTCAACGTGAAGTGCCCCCCTGGAGAGCCGTCTGTGTTCAAGGCGCGCTACATGGCCGGAGGCTTCAGTCAGCGAGAGGGGGTGGACTTCTTTCAGACCTTCGCTCCGATCCCGAAGATGACTACTCTTCGGGTGCTGCTACGTAGCAGCGCAGCGTGACTACGAGCTCCACTCCCTCGACTTATCCACTGCTTTTCTTCAGGGTAGTCTACATGAGCACAAATACCTGCGCCGTCTACAGGGCTTCACCGGTACCTTCCCTCCTTGGACCCTGTGGCTCTTCCGGCGCCGAATCTACGGCCTGCGATAGGTGCCCCGTGAGTGGCACGAAACGCTGCGTGCTACGCTAGCTGACCTGCAGTTCTGTCCGTCCTCTGCAGACCCTTCGCTATTCGTTCGTGCGGGCCAGACTCTGTTCTACATCCTTGTCTACGTAGACGACGTGGTCTTTGCTACTGCGGACAGAGGCACGCTGGCCTCCGTAAAGTCGGAGCTGCTGAGGAGACACATATGCACTGACCTAGGAGAGTTGCACCACTACATTGGCCTGCAGATCTCTAGGGATAGAGCAGAGCGCACCATTACTCTCACAAAGTCACACTTGGTGCGTCAGGTCCTTCAGAGGTTCGGTCTTCAGTTCTCCTCTGTACAGCCCACACCTCTGCCAGTAGGCCACAGGCTGTTGGCTCCAGTTCCTGAGGAGTCAGTAAAGCCCAGTGGTCCTTACGCAGAGCTGGTGGGTTGCCTCATGTACCTAATGACTTGCACTCGTCCAGATCTCGCATACCCTCTCAGCATCCTGGCTCGTTTTGTAGCCACCGGCAGGGACCGACCACAGCAGTGGTCGGCTGCTAAGAGGGTTTTGCGTTATCTAGCGAGTACATCGGGCATGGGGCTAGTGCTAGGAGGACGCAGGCCGGTGGTCCTTACTGGGCACACAGACGCTTCTTGGGCAGACGACGCTGAGACCCTCAGGTCCTCCGAGAGCTACTTCTTTAGCCTTGGTTCGGGTGCCATCTCGTGGAGGTCCACTCGCTTCTCGTCTGTTGCCCGGTTTAGCTATGAGGCTGAGATCTACGCCGGTACCATGGCGGCACAGGAGCTCTGCTGGCTGACCTTTTTGCTGACCGACCTAGGTGAGCGGCCTAGCTGTGCCCCGGTCCTGTACACTGACAACAGGGCCATGATCCTCCTGTGTTAGGAGCCTCGACTTGAAGGCAGAGCGAAGCAAATCCAGCTGCGGTACTTCCTCCTGCGTGAGCTACAGCAGGGTCTCCAGCCCCGCGTCGTACACTTGGCCTTCGGTGCCAACACAACTGATATATTTACGAAGGCGCTTGCGCCTAAAGATCATCAGCGGCACTGCTTGCAGCTTGGTCTAGTTCCTGTAGACTCTCACTTGCTAGGACCTTGATTGTGTACTCGTCTTTATATATTTCTTTCAGACTGGCCTTGTGGCTCCTCTTCTAGTGGTCAGATTAGTAGTGCCGCCCTGCTTTGCTCCTGTCTTGTTTGTACTCTTACTGACTGGTCTTCGGACCCCTGTCTCAGAGGTTGGACTAGTAGTGCCACCCTGAGCTGTGTGCTTTGTGCTTAGCACTACCCCTTATCTAGTCTAGGGGGTGTGTTTACTTATACATACATTTGCATGTAGAAGTTATAGGCTAGAATATGTGTATGTTCTTAGAGAGTACAACCAAATCCTATATCTTTCTTGTTCTCTCTTGTTTCATTTATTCTATTATTCTAACAAAGGGGTCACTTTGTATAAAGGTTCTCATTAAATATGCAAGTAGGTGGTGACTTTGTGGAAGGAATTTTAACTAACAATTACAGAATCAGGAAATCGGTCGGCATTAATTCACTTCGTTTCTCTTTTTCAGTACGTCTTACTAGGCTGTCCAGTATCGAGACATCACGGAGCGGCCAATCCGATGAAGATTTTGGAGATTCGGAGACTGTCGTGGCAGACGAACCATCCCTCGTCATTTCGGGTTACACGGAGCCACTTGTTCGCAACGTGGATCTCATGTGCAACGAGAGATACCCACGTCATTTCCATTTAGCCATTCCAGGTCAGCGTTCTGTAGCTTCACGACATGTCAGCAGCACCTTTGCCTCACAGCTCCAGGAATCCTCCTGCGGAGTTGCGGTCTTCCCCCCTCCCCCGAAACTGACCGCGCCCTCACGAACCAGCGGAGCTCCGCTTTTGCTCTCAAAGCACCCATCTCCGCCAGCCCATTCCAGCGCCAGAATCCCCCTGACGCGCCAACGCCTAGATTCCATCATTTTGTGCTTCGCCCCTGGCCTGTCCAGTCCGGAGTCCCGATTCTCATATTCCCCTCTAGCCCATCTCACCCCTCTGAAACCATCTGGAACCAACCCAAACCAGCCCAACCCAACTCTCTCTCCAGCTACCTTCATTTTCACCACCCTGCCCATCGTACATCAAGCATTTCCATTTCCATTGCACCAGCAGTTCTTAGCTCACGTCAGCTCACCATCTCAACTCCGTGAGCTACTTCCTGCCTCTCCGGCGCGTCCTCCGCTTCCCAATCTCCTCCTGTTATCTGGTTTTCCTGCCAGTTATTCGCAATGGCTGCCGTGTCGCTTTCCTCCTCCCTCGGCAGCCTCGCTGGCGCTAAGCTGGCCGTCGCGCAGACTGTCACGTCAGCCAAGTCATCCAGGGTCCAGGCTGTGCGCTGTGTCGCGGGACCTTCCGCATCTTCCACCGGGAAGAGCGGGGAGGAAAAGAGCATCTGGGAGAAGCTAGGAACCGGAGCCGCGGCATTCGGTCTCGCCGCCGCGCTCCAACTGACTCCGTCAATTGTTGACGGAGCTAAGGCTGACGAGTTTTCAGTCATCCGGTCACCTCCGCCGCTCGAGTCGCACTATTTTGACGATGCTAACGTCCTGAGCCGAATCACGCGGTCGGACATTAAGAAGCTGCTAACTGATTTGGAGGAGCGGACGGGTTACCACATCGACGCTGTAACCCTCAGGAAGATTGCGGTACGTTAAATTTCCGAGTTGACTCAAAGCTGGTTACCACATTGATGCTGTAACCCTCACGTAGATAGCGGTAGGTGCCCTATAACCAGCTGCACGAAATCCTATAGGAAGCATGCAGCATGTCTGGTACCACGAGAGACTGTACAGACTCCAGCATGACGAGGTGACTTTTGAGTCGACTCAAAAGTCGACTCCAGCATGACTGTAGTAGAGACTTTAACAAGTCTGCAAGACGAGAATCTGGTGCAAGTCTGTACGTCCTGTCGCTTGCTCTCAGCTGCAAGTCCCGGTACCCCACCCTGGGGGAGGCGACAGGCACCCATTTACTCACATAAACCACAATTTTCGTCGTTTCCTTCCCACACTCATTCAGGGCAAGGGCGACGTGTTCGAGCTCGCCGACAAGATCCTCGAGGCGTGGTACCCCACCGTGGAGGAGGGCGACAAGCGCCCGCCTGTACTGACATGTGGTCTCCTCCCTGACAATCTCTTCCGTCTCTTTCCCTGCTCTCCCTCCCTCCCGTCCTCAGGGCAAGGGCGATGTGTTTGAACTTGCCGACAAGATCCTCGAGTCGTGGTACCCCACAGTGGAGGAGGGCGACAAGCGCGGCGTCGTTCTGCTGGTCACGTCGCAGAAGGAGGGGGCCGTTGCTGGCGGCCCCTCGTTCATTGACACCGTCGGCGACGAGGTCTTCGAGGGCATTGTCTCTGAGAATCTCCCGGGTGAGTCTTTCTGAGTCGCTGAGCCTTCGTGGCGTATTGGCGGGGCGATCCGTGCTGCTCGTTCGCACGACTGTTGTGACGCTGATGCTGACAAGGAGGGTGCTGACGCTGGCGGTCGCACTTCCTTTCGTTCTCATAATTGGGGATGAGTTTTTTAAAGCCGTTGTTTCTGGGCATCGCCAAGGCGGAAGCCTCTCGTTGAATGCTTTTCTCATGGTGGGAGCCTTCTCTGACGATGCAATAATGGTCGTCCGAATCGGCTTAAAAACACATGTTGTCACATGGCGTCAGTCAACCGAAAACGTCTTGAGACGCAGACCAAAGTGTTAGAACTTCGACGTCTTGGCAGCTTGTAAATGATGCCTGTCGCTCCCAAAGCGTCCGACCTCTCAGTTTATTTCCTCTCCTCCTATTCCCCTCTCCCCGCCCCTCCCCCCCCTCTCCTCCACTTCTTCTCCCTCTCCACCCCACCTTTTTCTCCGTACAGTTCTTGTAACGAAGCCATGTACTCCACACCGCCTTGCAGCTCGTATTGACGGGCAGCCTGATACACCCCCTCCCTCTCCTCCCCCCCCTCCCTCTCCTTCCCCCCCTTCCCCTTCTCTCCTCCCTCCCCACTTCCAGTTCTGGCCATGGAGGAGCGGTACAACGGGGCCATGTATTCCACAGTGAGGCGCCCTGCTTGAGAGGGCGAATTACAATGAACCCGGTTCCCTTTCCCCTCGGTTCTTGCTGTTACGTTCTCCCCTCTTCCAGTCCTGGCCACGGAGGAGCGGTACAACGAGGCCATGTACTCCACAGTGAGGCGCCTTGCAGCGCGTATCAATGGGGAGCCTGATATTCCGGGGCCCAAGTTCAACGACGCGAAGCGGGAATCCAACTACAAGACGCGTGAGGAGACGGACTCGAAGCGCGGCCAATTCACGACCGTGGTCGGCGGGCTTTTGGTTATTGCGTTTGTGGTGCCCATGCTGCAGTACTATGCATACGTGGCTAAGAAGTAAAATATGTGTGAGGGAGAGATGCCCCTGGCGAACTGTCCTGATGCTCCAGTACCAGTGTTACGACGCATACCGTACGTTGCTAAGAAGCAAACAGAGTTACAGGGGTGGTGGAGAGACTCAGTTACAGTTGCATGCTCATTGACTGCTCTTTCTATTTGTTATTGTCTTGTGTTGTAAGTACAGTTTTGCCAAGCAGACATTGTTGTACGGAGATGGAAGAAACGAAGTGCCCTGCTTCTGCTCCCTCCATCTCCCTCTCTCTCTCTCCCTCTCCCCCTTCATTCCCCACATCCCTCCGCCCCCCCCCTCTCCTTTCATCTTTCCCTCCCTACCTTCCCCCTTTCTTCACCCTCTCTCCCTTCTCTCTTCCTCCCTCGCCGCCCTCGAATAATGGTGGAACCGACAAAGCTGATGACTAGTTGTACGGTAAACCTAACCAACTCATCCTTGTTCCAGTGGTGCTGATTCCTACTTTTGCAAGCCCATATTTCCTACTAGTAGCAGGGAATACCTGTGCATGTGAGGCTTTCTCTTGATGCGTAACTTGTCATAGCCATTTTCAAATGAATCTAAAATTGTTCAGGGAGTGTGTGGAATCGTGCGCATGGACGTACAGGTGTAACCCTCTATAGCGAGGAAATTGGGTCTTTTGTCCGAGTGTCAGACGCTTCCAATCCATCCGTGAGCCAATCTCGTGTAGGAAAGAGCCTTTCCCCCCAAGCTCGTGCTGCCCGTGAACAAAACATGTCTGCTGCACTCCCTCCATACAGAACAGTGTCACGGTTCGAACCAGCCAGATCTGACCTGCCAGATCTGACGGCCACTGTATCTCATGTTCTCATCCAACCGTCAGTCTAACAGGAGATTAACTCCGCTTTCCACAGCAACCCCAAGTTCCCGTGAGGACAAGGAAGCATTTTCTGGCTACTGAACGGCATATTCTGTAGAGCTTAGTTCTTTCTCGTGCTCCCAAGTCAGTCGCTTGTACCTCAATCCACCTGACCCATTTAGGGTTCAACTAAGCTACTAATGGCTGGTCTATTGCTGGGTCTCGTAAGATTTATTATTCAGCAGTAATCATGCTGCTGGTTTGGGAAGCTATATTCGCATCCAACGTCAGTCTTAGAGCATCGTCCTTCTCTTTCAGACGCAGCAACCAACTGAATTCTCCCACCTCTTCGGATATCCCCCTAAATAAGCAACGCCCTGCTCAACCTCTCACAACCGATCACTCTAACCTTTCCTAGGTAGTTCAATAAAACACCACTGTTTCCTGCGAAGCGAGTACCACCTCCGATACAGCAGCGCACAGGGTAACGTTGGTAGCGTTGGCACCGGTACTGGAAGCACCAGACGCCCGGAGAGAATGAAGGAAGAGGGAAGGCGGAGGAAGAGCCCTCTGCCTCTCGGCTATGCGATTAATGTGGATCATTCCACTGGCACAGCTTTAAGTAGTGTCCGACGTCCCATACCCTTCGGCACCGACCATCATGCCGATTACGACGGATCGTCCAGAAAGTTCATCCAATTCGACGAAGATGCTAACCAGACCGGCTCGATCCAGTACGATTCGGCTCGGTTCAGCACGATCCGTGAGCAGCAAGCGCAATCTTTTGACATGCCTCAACGATCGCTATCCTTCTCCTCCTCTTCCTCAAAGGCTTCCTGTTTCTCCTCTACTCTCTGCGGTCTACGCAAGTCGCTCAACTTTCTATTTATTTCCCTCCTCCTCCTAACCCCGATCTACTACTTCGCCTTCGTCTTAATCTCCCCGACGTGCACGCGAACCCCGATAGTGACCTTCCGCGCGCCGCTTACTTACTCTACACCAAGCCCTTACTGCCGCTTATTCCCCTTCGCCGCTCGCTGGAAATACACTGTGTCTGAAGAAACCTCTCGGTTCGACGGCATGGAGGATTTCGTGTTCGACCCGAGTTCAATTCCTGCTGAGAACAAATTACCGGGAGATCCGTACAGCAGCGCGGATCCCGGGAAGATGGCGTTTCTGTTCTTAACGAGGTCGACCATCCTGCTCGCTCCGTTATGGGAGCAATTCTTTAAGGTGAGCTCTTTGTGATTGTTTTCATTTTTTCATAGGCCGACATTTTCCGCCACTCCCACCAACCAGCTAGCGAGGGCTATGCTAGCCCCCGTTGTCGGCCAAAACCGTCCAGTAAACCCTGATTTTGTTGCCTCCGCACTGCACTGCACTTTGCCATACCAGCATTACCAGCAGCATTGCCAGTATTGCCAGCATTGCCAGCACTACCATAATTACACATCAGACCCGTATGCCCCACCATGCTGCTTTCTGTGTGCTGCTCATCTTGCGCTGCTAACGTGTGCTGTTGACGTGTGTTGCTGACGTGGCAGGGTCACGAGCGCCGCTACTCCATCTACGTGCACAGCTCGGATCCGTCCTTCGAGATCTCTGCCCATAACACGCATTCTCCCATCTTCCTCGGCCGCCAAGTGCCCAGTGGGGAGGTCAGTGCTTATTCTCTTTTTTACCATACTAAACCGTATTGAATTGCACTGCACTCAGTCGAATCGTCCGTCCTTCGAGATCACTGCTGACAACACCCAGTCTCCCATCTTCCTCGGCCGCCAAGTGCCCAGTGGGAAGGTCAGTGCAGGGTGCTGTATCGAATTGGGGTATACTAGACTGTATGTATGCTATGGGTTGACATCATCACCCCTCCCTCCCCCACCCTCTTCCCCACTCCCGTCAGGTGCTATGCGATGGCTCCGCCATGGTGGACGCGGAGCGAAGGCTGCTGCCCTTTACCACTATTCCCATCCATAATATCCCTTAGCCTCTCCCCCTCCGTCTCTGCCCCTCCCCCCCCGTCAGGTGCTGCGGTGGACATCACCATGGGGACATCACCATGGGGACATCACCATGGGGGCATCACCATGGGGGCATCACCATGGGGGCATCACCATGGGGGCATCACCATGGGGACATCACCATGGGGGCATCACCATGGGGGCATCACCATGGGGACATCACCATGGGGGCATCACCATGGGGGCATCACCATGGGGACATCGCCATGGGGACATCACCATGGTGGCATCACCATGGGGACATCACCATGGGGACATCACCATGGGGACATCACCATGGGGACATCACCATGGGGACATCACCATGGGGGCATCACCATGGGGGCATCACCATGGGGACATCGCCATGGGGACATCACCATGGTGGCATCACCATGGGGACATCACCATGGGGACATCACCATGGGGACATCACCATGGTGGACGCGGAACGACGGCTGCTGGAGCTCTCCCTGCTAGCGTGTCGCACTCACTCATCCCCCCCACCCGCTTCACCCCAACCACCCCCCGCGCCGATCCCCCACTTCCAGGTGCTGTGGGGCGACATCACCATGGTGGACGCGGAGCGACGGCTGCTGGAGCTCTCCCTGCTGGACCCAGACAATCTCTACTTCGCCCTCGTGTCTGAGACGTAAGGTCGAGAGGAGTGTGCAGGGGCGTGGGGGGGTTTGCAGGGGCGTGGACGGGTATGCAGGGGCGTGGAGAGGTATGCTGGTGTGTGGAGTGCGAGGGAGAGTCAGAGTGCTGAAGGCTAAGGAGCTCTCCCTGCTGGACCCAGACAATCTCTACTTCGCCCTCGTGTCTGAGACGTAAGGTTGCGAGGAGCGTGCAGGGGTGTGAGGGGCACGCCGGAGTGTGGAATGTGAAGGGGTCAGCGTGTTAACGGCTGCTCAAGCTCTCCCTGCTGGATTGCGTGCTTCGCCCTTGTGTCCGAGTGTGGTGAAGGCTGCTCAGGCTCTCTCTGCTCTGGCTCTCTCTGCTGCTCTCTGTTTGGCCCTAGTGTCTGAGGGGTGTGTGTGAGTGTCCTTGTGAGGAAAATACGCTGCACAGTGGGTTGCTTGCCATCGTGTCTGGAGACCAGTGTTGGGAAATCAGTGTGGGGAAATCAGTGTGGGAAATTACTGTGGGGAAATTAGTACGGGGAAAATAGTGTGGGGATATTAGTGTGGGGAAATAAGTGCGGGGAAATTAGTGTGGGAAAATTAGTGTGGGGAAATCAGTGTGGGGAGATTAGTATGGGGAAGGCTAGGCTGCTTGAGCTCTCTCTGCTGGACCTAGGCATTCTATGTTTCGCCCTTGTTTCACACAGGTGAGTTGCATGAGAGAATAACGCCATGCAAGGCCATATCGTCACACATGGCCTTGTCAACTTGCTTCCTGGTCGGCCTGCCCTCCTCATAGATCCTCATTTTAAGAGAAGGGGTTAGCGTCTTGTCCTTTCCCATACATACACCTGTTCACTGTAATCAGCTTCTCCTCCTTTTTAACAATCCCTTACTTCTCCCTTCTTAGTTTCGTCCGTATTTGTTTTTTTTTCCTATGATTTCTCGTCCCCCCACCCCCCCCCCCGCTTCCACTTCCATGCCCAAACCAGTTGCATACCCCTCTGGTCGTTCCAGTATATTTATAATTACGTCGCCACCACTCCAGTCAGCTTCCTAGAGAGGTGAGCTTAAGAGACTTGCTTAGCTAAAAGGTGCCGCCACCACTCCAGTTGGCTTCCAAGAGAGGTATGCACTTTACACTTCCTCCCCTTCTTTGCCCCACCAGCTACATACCCTCCTGGTCGTTCCAGTACGCAACATATCTAAAATTTCATATATTTTTCAGGCGCCTAAAAAATAGACTCCCCCTCTTTGCTCCATACCCTCCTGGTCATTCTTTGAGTCGACTCAATATACATCAGTATTATCTATAACTTCGTCGCCACGCCACCACCCTTTTAAAAGAAATAGGGGCCTGATGAAATACGTGGCCGCACTCAAGCCTATTCCCATCCCCATCCCCACGCCCCCTTAGTTTCGATTGTCCACTGAACATTGGCTTTGGTCGCTACATGGAAGGAATGGGGCCTGATGAAAGGGGTGCCCATACTCATGCCTATCGCCATCCCCATTCCCATCCCCATCCCCACCCCCATCCCCATCCCCGTCCCCATCCCCACGCCCCCTTAGGTTTGATTGTCCACTGAACATTGGCTTTGGTCGTTACATGGAAGGAATGGGGCCTGAGATAAAGAAGAAAGACTTCAAGAAGGGCTCCCAGGTATTGTATTCGTAATAAGTTGCTTCGCTAAGAGATGGCATGTTCCATTGTCCTTCAACACCGGCTTTGGTCGTTACATGGAAGGAATGGGGCCTGAGTTAAAGAAGAAAGACTTTAAAATGGGCTCCCAGGTATTGTATTCGCTACAAGACGCTTCAGTAGCTGGTCGTAATGGAATTGGCATAAGAAATTCAAAGGGTTTGGAGCATGTGTCGATTCACAGGAATTTTAGGGCTCAGTTGAATGTGGTTTCTGGCTCCTTAATCGATGCGTGTGTCTGTGCCTCTGATCTCCCTTCTGCATCATGCCAAATTTTTAGGCGCCTAAAGAATCTTCCCTGCCTCTGTTTCCCCCTGTGCGCCATGTCACTGTGCGTGTGACTGTAGTGGTTTGTGCTTCAAAGGAGGCACGCCATGATGGTTATTGATGACAGAAAAGTCTACTTCAAATTCCAAAAGCACTGCAAAGTAAGCCCTCTTCCAGTTTTTTCACCTCTGCTGCTTAATAAAAGCAATGCTGTTTAAAGTTAGCCGTTTAAACAGTGAAACATGTGCTGTGTGTAAGGAATTTCGTCTCGTGTGAATACACATATTTATGCGGCGCACAAAACATCCTAGTGGTGTTTTTACTTCGACCATTAGAAGGCCTCCGTTCCTCTTACTCTTGTTTACTCTCCCCCTCCTTCCCGTATCGTTTCAGCCAAGAAGGGAGTTCAAGAATTGCTATTCGGATGAGCACTACCTGCAAACGCTCTTCCAGGTATACTCAGGTGATATCTCAGGTACATGTGAGATGTTCATGTAGGTATAGCCATCAACATCTCGGGTATGAACTGTTACTTGGATGGAAACTACCTGCAGACACTCTTCCAGGTATGCTCAGGTGATATCTCAGGTACACGTCAGATGTTCATTCATGCATCGACATCTCAGGTATGAATTGCTATTCGGATGAGCACCACCTGCAAACACTCCTCCAGGATTACTCAGGTGATATCTCAGGTATATGCTCAGAGAATCATTGAGGTATATCCATAATTATATCAGCTGTGCCCAGGTGATTTCACAGTGTGGTCAGGTAATCTTTCAGGTATGCTCTCAGGTGAACACCACCACCTTACCACCAGCACCAGCACCAGCACCAGCACCACTAGCACCGGCACCAGCACCAGCACCAACAGCAGCAGCAGCACCACCACCACCACCACCAGCAGCGCCACCACCAGCAGCGCCACCACGACTTACAGAATTTGCTGCTGCCAGCTTCTTCACACAATCCTGGCTCTCTCCTTTTCATCTCTCCTCTTCGCCGCTCCTCTTCTTTTCTCTCTCTTTGTCGATCTCTCCTCCCTAACTCTTGCCTCTCTTGCATGCAGAAGAAGGACCCAGGAGGTGTGTCCAACTACACTGTGACCTTTGCCGACTGGACAGAACGCAAGTGGCACCCCATGGCATACTCTGCTGAGAACACCACCGCTCTGCTTATAAGGCAAATCAAGGTACTCGCTATCAGTCGTAACTTTTTTTTTTTTCTGGTGATGGGGTGAATTACGATACACGTTACTGTGCTAGTCTGTGATTTGGTAACTGTTATTACAAAAGCACCTCCAAATTTCTCTCATTTTTACCTTTTTTTCCTCCATCACCAACGCAGAGTGAGGAATCGGTACATTGCATGGAGGCCCAACTGGCATTGGTGGTCATGCTCCTAGTTGACTTATCTGTCCTCCTGTGCTCTCTATCCCCATACATGCACTCGCCATCGCAGAGTGAGGATCGGTATATTGCATGGAGGCCATACTGGCATCGGATCCGCAAGTCGTACAAGAGTCACCTGGTCAGTGCTGTAGTGTAGAGTTCTCTTGTGTTGCATGCATGGTGTTGCATCTGTTGTGATGCATGCCATAGTGTCGAGTGCTGTAGACTGCAGAGCTACTGGCATCAGATCCGCAAGACATACAAGAGTCACCTGGTGAGAGCTTCAGTGCTGGATTTTGTCGTGTTGCTGCGATTTTGTGTGCCGCTTTTCCAGAATTTGGCAGTCTATTACTGCTGCTGTCTTTTCCTTAAACCCTACTTTGCTGTCTGGATCATCAGCAAGTGTGTTCTTCCCTGTCTTCCGCCACTTTCGGCTTTTTGCAGGTGCGAGACCCAAGCACAGGAAAACCTGTGAAGGTGTGTTTGTCGTTTCCGGTTAACATATATTACTGTCGTATGCATTTATGCAATGGTGAGTCAGTTTCCCACCACACTGTATTTCATCTCGATCACTGTGTTACATCCTACTGCTCCCCGAATCATGTTGTCGCGCAGGATTACGACAATGGATACTGTTCATTGGGTTCGGAGCATAGACACTGCTTCCTTTTCGCACGAAAATTCATGCCATCCACATTGCCAGGCTTGCTCAATTTATCGCACGTAGAACTAGGATTTTGAGAGTTATACAAGACTGATTTTCATTTTGAGCAAGCTGGTACACTCCTTTCAGCTACGAACGAGTTTACGCATGGAGCGCCCAACGGTAACCTCGATGTTTTGTCAGAAGGGTGCTTTGCCATCAGCCGCGCCGGCATCGCACTTTCTGAGACGGAGAAATGTCAGCGGCTCGTAAAGAGGGAGCCGACAAACGGTGCAGATTGCACGGGAGCTAAATGGACGACCAGATCGGCTCGATTTCGCAACAAGCAAATTTGATTACACGAAGGTGTCGACAGCGATCGGTCAAGCAGGAGGAGCGGTTCGGTGTGAAAAATTGGTGGGATTATTTTTTACCATTCCGTCATTTTATTTTTGACAGCGGAACGTGCCATTGCACTGACTGAATCAGTCAGTGGACGGTCGTTTACGGTATCGTGGAGCGGCTGTGCTCCACCGACAGCCCGGGCAGAATCATGGAGGATGTAAGGGTCCAGGAAGGATCACATGGCACGGAAGTGCTATAGACAGGACGAAGACCCTAATTACAGGACTAAGTACGGATTACGCGTGCAAAGCTGCAGAGAGAGAGAGCGAGAGAGGCGTTAGCTGCCTGAGCATGTGAGCTTGAGCTACGCATGAGTGGACTATAAGTTCATGTACTAGTACGCACGACTGGAGCTATCGCGTCCATTGATTTTTTCATACCCTGAGATCACCGGCTAGTTGGCCTGTTAGAGCTGATTCGCGCCGTTACTTCCTTGCTTTCATGCTGTCAGTATCCGGTTTTGTTGCGTTACATGCGATTCTGTAGGAAGCCGTAGTTTTGATACCACCTTCCGTCTTCCATCTTCCAGCCGTAGTCGCTGGGAGACCACGCGACCAGTGTCGCAACGGCTTCGCACAGCGTTGTGTCAATCATGTCGCCAGCTCGCCACAGCCGGTCGCTCTCTCCCTCACTCATCGTCGCACGCGTCGCCGCAGCAGCAATCGCCGTCGCGCTGCTTGCGGCTGTGCCGGGCCACGCGCAACCCGCTAAAACCGCAGGTATTGGCGAGGAAGTTATAGCAACGCAAGAGCTGCTGGAATTGGAAAATTCTGAAAAAACACAGAGGATGTTCGAACCACGGGTATGGCAAGGGTTTACTTTTGAGTCGACTCAAAAGTCACGCGTAACCCGCTGAAACCAGCTGGTATTGCTCCCAGAGGATAATCGAACCTCAGGTATGGCAACGTGCGAGCTGCTAGAACCGCAGGTATCGGCTAGGCAGTTGTAGCAGCGCGCAACCCGCTAGAACCGCAGGTATCGGCTAGGCATTTCTAGCAGCGCGCAACCCGCTAGAACCGCAGGTATTGGCTAGGCAGTTCTAGCAGCGCGCAACCCGCTAAAACCGCAGGTATCGGCTAGGCAGTTCTAGCAGCGCGCAACCCGCTAGAACCGCAGGTATCGGCTAGGCAGTTGTAGCAGCGCGCAACCCGCTAGAACCGCAGGTATTTCTCACAGAGGATAATCGAACCACGGGTATGGCAAGGGTTGTAGTTTAACGATGCAGGCTAGCGGCTTTCGAGCCTGAAGCCCTGCCGAGTTACTCGCACGTCCCTTCATCTCTCACCCACTCTTACCCACTCTCACCCACTCTTACCTTGTGAATTTACGTGTGCTGGAGTTGTACGCTGGTGGCTCAGTGCTCTCACTCCCACTCTCACAGCAATAAACCGCATATAATACCTTGCGTATAAGTAGGGAAGGCAATGCCAGACCGCCGCCTACTCTCATCATCTCTTGTTTATCCCTTTCCGTAGCAACCTTGACCGCCGCCTACCCTCGCCGTTCCCTAGTCCTTACCGGGCTGTGCCCTTTCCCCGCCGGGTCAGGTGGGTGCACGAACTACGGCAAGGGAACGTGGGTACGCGATAACAGCCGCCCCGCTTACGACTCCAACACATGCAAGTTCATGGTACAACCTGGCTCGAGACTATTCTTGTTGGGTGTATGCTCAGGGTAGTGTAGTGGGTACACCTGATGGAATGCAGCAAATGCATGGCCACGTATCGCGTATAGAGTGTACGTGCATGCGCATACATGTGCATGTGATGCTTGCACACGTAATGTAGAGTGCTATCATCAGTTGCCTCAGTACATGTACGCGCTACTGTAATGGAATCGCCACATAGCGCGTACGCAGTTGTGCATGTACTAATGTGTCCTCAGCTGCCTCTGCAGACGCACGCGATACTGAGTTACATCAGTGCGTGCTTGTGATCGAAAGCAGCGCACGCATGTGCTACCTGTGGCGCGTAGCGCATGTAGTATGCCATGCGTTGTCTATACGTCCACCTCACGCAGAGCAACTGCGTCAGGAAAGGCTGTTGTGGGATCCCTCACCCTCCCTTCTCCTTCTCTCGCCCGCCTCGTCCCTCCTCTCAGGGAGTGAGCAACTGCCTCAGGCAAACCGGGAGATCAAAAGACTGGCTGGTGAGTGCTAATGCCTCAGATGACTTTTGAGTCGACGCAGGAATCAAGCCGGGCAATAAAGAGTTCGCCTGGTGAGTGTTGGCTCGACACAAAGACTGCATTGTAGTTTGTGAAATTAGTTGCTTTGTTGGTTGTGACTGGCTTTCGGGTCCTATTGGCATGTGGCAACGACTGAACAGTGAGCGGGCATCGAGTGCGTGTGCATTGATGGAGTGTGCATTGATGGAGTGTGCAGTGAGTTAAGTGTGGATTAACTGAAAGTGCGTACAATGCCGAAGCTGAATGAGTGTTTGATTACTGGCGCTTTCATTAGATCCCTATTTGACCCCCTCCGCTCTTCCTCTCCAGTACTGGTCTTGGAAGCCCAATGGTTGTCCTGCCAACGGCATGCGGTTTGATGCTCTGGGATTCTTGAAGCTGATGAAAAACAAGTGAGTCGTGAGTGACGGAGCGAGTGTGAGGAGAAAAGAGGGTGTTGTGTGCATGCGCTAACGGCATGCGGTTTGATGCACCGAGATTCTTGAAGCTTATGAAAAGCAAGTGAGTCAGGGGCCATTGGTGGAAGATAGGGCAGAAGGTTTGGGGGGATGAGGGGGAGATGAGTGAGGGCGGAGAGGAGGAGCGAGGCGTGAGTCACAAAGCACGTTTCCCCATCCCCCCCCGTCCCTCCGCATCCGTCAAAGTGTGCATTAGGGTGTTTGTCAGCGGGGCGAGTCCCGCTGAGGCTTCCGTCAAATACCCTCATCTCCGTCAGAGGCTTCCTCCTCTTCCTGCCGTTGACCCTTCTTTCCCTCCTCCCTCGTTAAGTCTACCCCTGTTCCTCCTCCCTCCCTCCCTCCCCCCCTTGACTGTTTGCTTCGCAACAGGGTGGGCGAGTCTATCCCCGTTATAGCTTTCCTCCTTGCTATCCCTGACCCTTCTTTCCATCCCTATTCCTCCTCCCTCCATCCCCCCATTGACCGTTTGCGTCTCAACAGGGAGTTTGCCAGTGTGGGGGGGAAGAGTCTATCTCTGTTTGACTCTTCCTCCCCCTCTTCCTGTCGCTGACTCTTCTTTCCATCCCTGCACCGCCTCCCTCCCTCCCACCCTCCCCTCTCCCCCCCCCCTTGACCGTTTGCTTCTCAACAGGGTGTTTGCCAGTGTGGGGGAGTCTATCTCCGTTAGAGGCTTCCTCCTTGCTGTCGTCTGCAATGTAAGAATGACTTCTCTGTAATCAATCTTCGTTTGGTAAAGGTGCTGGGTGTAGGATGAATGGGTTCCACAACACCGAGGTGCGCCCCCATCCCATCCCCCCTAGCACAATAGAGGCAAGCACACTACTTAGGTGACGATGCTGGGTAAACCCAACAAGTGTGGGAGCACGGACAGTTGTGCCATGAGTCCAGGTATCCCCCCTCTGCTCCCCTGCACCAACTGCCACCTCTAGCACAGATCGCCAAGTACACTGACGTCAAGATGCCGGGCATACCCAACGAGTTTGGGAGCGCGGAGGTGTATTATGTGCCCTGTGGCCCTCGATATCCCACTTTCCTCCCATCAACTCCCCTCCTGTTTCGTACCCTGCACCACCCCCCTGGTACAGATCGCCTAGTACATCGAACTAAAGTCGCTGGTAAGCCCAACAAAGGTTGGGAAACCAGGGAGGTGTGGCGTGATGTGCCCCAGTACACCCCTCCCAACCCCACAGCCAACGTGACACTACTCAACTTCCTTTCTCTCTCTTCGCCCCACATAACCATCCGCTCACATCCCTCCTACAGACAGATAGTCAAGTTCACCGAACTGCACCAGGCTATGTGCACAAAAGTGCAGATGCTGGTGGCTAAACCGAACAATTTTGGGAACCAGGGAGGTGTGGCGTGATGTGCCCCTGTAAACCCCTCCCACCTCCCCGGCCAACGTGACACTACTCAACTTCCTTTCTCTCTCTTCGCCCCACATAACCATCCACTGGCATGTCTGCTACAGATAGCCAAGTGCACAGAAGTGAATATGTTGGCTAAGCCGAACAGGCATGGCAACACGGAAAGGTGAATGGTGTATTGAGCCACCCTCTTCCCACCCCCCCCTCTGAAACCAAGTTAGTTTGGAAACACAGAGAGGTGTGTCACGTGCCCAATCACCCCACCCGCTCCTCTCCCTCCCCTTCCGCTCCCCTTTTTACTGCCTCGACTCAGGTCGCTAAATACACCGAAGTGAAGATGCTGGCTAAGCCAAACAAGTTCGGCAGCACACAGAGAGTTGTAGCATGTGTTGAGCCACCCCTCCCTCCTCCCATCCCGCACGCCTCCCCCTCCCCTCAACCCCCTACCACAGGTCGCTAAATACACCGAAGTGAAGATGCTGGCTAAGCCAAACAAGTTCGGCAACACGGAGGTGTACTACGTGCCCAGTCACAACGTGACACTTGTCAACTTCTGGGCGGCGTTTCTTGTCGCCATTGACACGAGCAAGGAGGTGAGAGGGGGAGGGAGGAGGGGGTGGGGGAAGGGGGTGGGAGGGAAAGGGGGGGGGGAGAGAATTGGGGGGGGGAAGGGAGTGGGGGGAGAAACGGGGGGGGGAGGAAGAGAAAGCGTAGGGGACAGAGACAGTGAGTGAGATCGAGGAATAGAGAAGGATAGAATCCCACCATTGGATAAATGTCCAGGTCTTTTGATTCGACTCAAAAGTCAAGAGGCCTCGTCCTGATTGCTGTCAAGAGACCACCAGGTTGCTCTCATAAAAAAGCCTCAACATACAATCCATTCCTCCCCTCTCTTCCGAACCAGACCCTGGCCAGGTTCGGCAACACCAAGCCTGCCCTCCAAGACACGGTGGTGAACCTCCACAAGCTCGACCCCGCCTGGGCGGCACATCTGGACAAAGTCCACGTCATCGTGTTGCAGACTGCCGCAGACTGGCCGGCAGGGCGCGACCTTATGCGGCGGTACTATACGGATGCGAATTGGAACGCGATTACGCCCAAGCCATCTACCTATGGGGCTTACGAGTGAGTGCTGCAGCCTATACTTCTGGAGCTAACGATTGAGTGCCTGATTCAAGTTCGAAGTCGACTTGGGGCGCCATGGGGTGGTGCTATACCGACGCGAACTGGAATGCGATTATGCCCAAGCCATCAACCTATGGAGCTTATGAGTGAGTGACGCAGCCTAATTGCTCTGCAAAACAGTCTCTCACTAGTTTGTTCAGCAGCAGCAACCTCCTACGCTGCTGCTACTGCTGCTCTTCCATGGCAACTGGCCCAGCAACTTTCACTACCTTCTCTCAGCGGTTGCTTTGTTGAGGTTTACTTGAGAGGTCTCAGAATAAAGCTTCTGTCACGCTGCTGCTACTGCTGCCCCTCCAAAACAATGGACCCAACAAATTTCACTGCCTCCCCCCTTCAATCTCCCTCCTGCCACAGGATCGGCATGAGAACGGTGTTCAACGCATTTGCCGGGCGGGGCAGGAGGGGCAAGCCCTTTCCGGTCCCAATTTTGAGGAGTCTATTTTTGAGGCGCCATGCGTGAGGAGTCTATTTTTGAGGCGCCATGCGTGAGGAGTCTATTTTTGAGGCGCCTCAAAAATAGACTCCTTTGGCAGGGCGGAGCAGGAGGGCCACACCCTTCCCTGTGCCCATTTTCCTCTCCGCCCATTCTCCCTCTCTCCCTCTCCCCCCTGCCGCAGGATCGGCACAAGAGAACGGTGTTCAACGCATTTGCTAGGCGAAGCAAGAGTGGAACGCCCTTCCCGGTGCCCCTTTCCGTCAACTCACCACGTCTTCTCCTTCTCCCTCTCTTCGCCCTTGCTTCCCCTTCCTTCTATGATAGAATCGCCATGCGCACAGTGTTCAACGCCTTTGCAGGGCGGAGCACGAGGGGCAAGCCCTTCCCCGTGCCCTTCTTCCTCTCTGCCCCCCCTCGCCTCAACGGCTGCCAGAACGTCTCGTCCCTCAGCTCTCCACAGCAGGTAAGCAGGCTTGATGGCACCCCATGACTGCACGTGGCCTCAGCACTCCTTGCCACCTCCCCTTGTTCCTCTCGGGCCCTCCTCGCCTCAACGGCTGCCAGAACGTCTCGTCCCTCAGCAGCCTCCAGCAGGTGGGCTCAACACCGCAATGCACAAAAGGTAGGTCGGCTGAAGTGTACTCCCAGTGTCCTCTCTTCCTCTCCGCGCCCCTCCTCGCCTCAACGGCTGCCAGAACGACCATTCCCTCAGCAGTCCCCAGCAGAACGGCTTCCTCCCCCTTCCCCGTGCCACCTTTTTCTATCTCCTTTTCTCCTTTCTTTCACTCCCTGCAGGTGACATCGCTCTTCAGCAACAACAAGGCACCCAAGAGCCTCCTCCCCATACAGCAGAAGGCTTTCCAGAACCGCCGCCCCTTCCTCTTGCTCCCAATCACCCACCTCTCAATGCCCCTCCCACGTTCTCCACCCCTCACACACACCAGGTGACCTCCTTCTTCAACGACAATAAAGCTTCCAAGAGCTTCCTCCCCATTCAGCAGAAGGTCTTCCAGAATCGCTGGCCCTTCCGCTTCCTGCCAATCACCTACCTCTCTCCCTGTTGTGCCTCTCACTCTACTCCCCACACCACGTAACCCCTCCCCTCAACGACAACAAAGCATCCAGAAGCTTCCTCCCCATTCAGCAGAAGGTCTTCCAGAACCGGCGCCCATTCCGATTCCTCCCAATCACCCACCTCTTTCTGTTCCCTACGCCTCTCAAGGTGACTTTTGAGTCGACTCAAAAGTCACCTGTTCCCTACGCCTCTCCCTCCTTTCCTCCCCACACCAGGTGACATCTCTCTTCAACGACAACAAAGCCTCCAAGAGCTTCCTCCCCATTCAGCAAAAGGTCTTCCAGAACCGGCGGCCGTTCCGCTTCCTCCCGATCACGTACCTCTCCCTGTTCCGAGGGGATGCGTTTATGTCATCCAGCGGGGCGCATGACGGGGGGAGAGACTGCCTGCACTTCTGCTTACCTGGCGTGCCTGACACCTGGGCGGACGCCCTTTATACGACGATGAAGAGTGACCAGTTTCTGGTGAATAATGCTGCCAAATAGAGGGGGGGGGCTAGCCGGTATGGGTGCAGCGATCACCCACCCACCTCTCCCTGTTCTGAGGAGACGCCTTGATGTCATCCAGTGGGGCCCACGATGGGGGGAGGGACTGCCTGCACGTCTGCCTGCCAGAGGTGCCTGATGTGTGGGCTGATGCCCTCAATACCACCATGAAGACTGACCAATCCCTGGTTTAACAATGCCGCTAAATAGAGGTTGCAAGCGGATAGTAGTAGTTGAATAAGGGTGCAGCGATTAACTGCCTGTCCCTGTTCCGAGGAGACGCGCTTTCAAGTCGTCCAGTGGGCCCCACGAAGGGGGGAGGGACTGCCTGCACTTCTGCTTACCAGGAAGGGTGCCTGTTGTGTGGGCTGATGCCGCCTGCTACCCTGCAAGGACGACTGACCAGGTTCTAGTGAGCAATGCGGCTTTGCAAGGGCAGTAAGTTGGGGAAAGGTGCAGGTGCATGCAGCATCACCTATCGTTTTGGGCTTTCATCAAACGTGCAGCCAAGGGTGCTGCTAAGTTGCTACGGTTGCGAGCATGGAGCTACGGTAGGAAAAAGAAGGCAAAAAGAAGGTTGAGAATACTTTCATGTTTATTCTGTTATGGTGCACGTTGATGAATCTGCGGTACATATAAACACTTGGTTACATTCCGTTCAAGTCAACAAAACGGTGCGACGACTGGATTGTTTGCACAACAGCAGCACCAGCATCACCACCACTGCCACCACCCATCCAGCGTATTTCCATCCATAATTCTCGTCATCTCCGCTACATACTCCCTCCTCAGCCCTGCCGCCTTAGCCCCTTTAAGCAGCAGGTCCCGGTATCGAGCCGAGGGGGGTAGCTCCTTACGGGGAGGGAGGAAGGATGAGCTCTTGGTATTGGCGCGGAGGGTTAGGGCCTGATAAAGGCGGGAGGCAGGGGGATGGGCGGGGAGGGGGGATGGGGAGGGGAGAGAGAGGGGGGATGGAGGGTAAAGGCTTGGTTAACTAACTTTAAGAATTGCCGGTACTGTGCACAAGGAGCGTAGCTCGTGACGCGTCTATTTTTGAGGCGCCTAAAACACAGATTCGACAATATTTAAAAAGCCCCTGAAAAATAGACTCGACAATATTCTTGGCGCGCCTACAACAAATCCCAAGACCGAGCACCAGGAATACAGCTCGTGACGTGGTAGTAGGAATGAGGGGCTCTTGGGGGAAGATTGGGGGATTTCGAATTCTGCTCCAATAATCAGCAATCAAGAAGAAGAAGAAGAAGAAAAGTGTAACGTGATTGATTCACCTTGACACAAGGAGTACAGCTGGTGATGTGGCAGGAGGAATGAGGGGCTCTTGGGGAAAAATGGGGGGATTAATGTGGAAGGCGGCAAGCGAGGGTAAGGCTTGGTTAGCATTTTTTGAATTTCCCGGTACCGAGCACCAGGAGGAGAGCTCGTGATGTGGAACGAGGAATGAGGGGCTCTCAGGGGAAGACGGGGGCGGGCGGGGGGGGGGGGGGGGGGGGGATCTCTGGAACAATGATCAGCAATTAGGAAGATGTGTAATTGTTACAATCAAGGTCTACTACAGCAATCACGGACATTTTTCTTCACCTTGACAGGGATATTAAGCATGACCCAAATGAGTGACTGCAAATACCTGTACAGTACTGCCAGAATAAGTGTGCGCTGTAACGAGGTGCTCTATATAGGGTCTCTGCTCAGAGCAGGAAATGCCTTCTGACCTGATAAGGGGAGAAGAAAAGGCATAGGGCATTGGGAAGACATAGGAGATGCCTGCTAGAAGATTAGGATTGAGCGACATAGGGGATTAGGAGGGGCGTTGGTATGTATATGTGCATGAGAGCCTGCTTAGAGCGGGAAATGCCTTCTGGCCTGATAGGAAGGGGAGGAGACAGGGAGTGAGAGACACAGGGGAGTGGGAATGATAGAGAAAGCAGGGAAGAGCGGGCCTCAAAACATTAAAGCAGCCTCAAAACATTAAAGAAGCCTCAAACATTAAAGCAGCCTCAAACATTAAAGCAGCCTCAAAACATTAAAGCAGCCTCAAAACACGGAGAGGGGGGAAACGAGAAACTGGAGGAGGGGGAGGTTTTTTTAGGCGCCTCAAAAATTTTCTCAGCTCACGAGGAGGGGGGGGAGGGGGGGGAGGGGGGAAGTGGGGGGGAGGGGGAGAGGGGGCGAGTGGGGGGTGACTAATCTTACCACATGAGCCGCTCATAATCAACCCGTCTCACCACATGCATCTCACCACATGCATCTCACCACATGAGCCGCTCGTAGTCAATCCGTCGCATCTGCACTACCAACCCATGCACACTCGGACTCCCCATCCCCTCCCTGCTGCTCCCCATCCCCGCTACAGCAGCTCCGTTTCTATCCGCCGCTGCCCCAGCAACAGCCGTTTCGCTTCCTGCTACAGCCGCCTCTGTTCTCAACACAGCCCCTCCACTTCCCGCCACACCCGTTCTAATCCCCGCTACAGCTGGTCCATTTCCCGCCACAGCTGGTCGAATCCCCGCTACAACTGGTTCGATTGCTGCTACAGCTGGCTCGAAGGGCGGCATCACGCGCACGTTGAACGCCAGGCGATGGTGGTACACCACCGCCGGCTCCGCTACAACCGAGACGTCTGCTACAACCTTGTCGACCCCCGCTGACCGCCTCTGTAGCAGCTCCAGATTGAGATTCGATCCGTACGCGAAGTAGTTGACTGTAGCGTGGGGTGACAGTAGCGAAGAATCGGACAACATCAAGGGTCGGTCGTCAGCAGGAGGAGCTACGGTAGCCAGCCACGTGGCCAGGAGTAACGAATCGGTTAGATCAGTCCAGTCGTCGGATCCCTTTCGTGGAAGCTTCCGACCCATGGACCAATCCACCTCCGTAGTCGCAGGCTCTCCGCCCTTTCCCCCCCCGAGTCGTCCCCCCCCCAGTCGTCCCTCCGCGAGTCGCTCCCCCCCTCGCCCGCTTCTTCCCCTGTTCGCGTCCGCCGGGACTTTCTCCCCGCGGTCCGCGGAACGCGCTTCGCACCGCCAGCCAATCCACGGCGGGGGATCCGGGGATCGAATGCGCGTTTTCCGCGCAGGCAGTGACCGCACGATCAGGGGGTGAACCGGTTGTGGGCGGGATCGGCGGCAGGGTACTGACGCGGCTCGCTGCGGAATTGTTATCCGGAAATCACATGATGCTTGAAAGATATTGGAATAATTGGCTACTAACGGGGATGAGATGGAAGTGGTTGCGTGGGTAGAGGCCACCATGATCAAGCCGCGAACAAGAATCTAAGAATAACACAAGCACGGTGAATTCTCGCGTCACGATTACTGTATCCTGGTCGAGTGACCCGTTATAAGTTGTTGCATGCGTTGTAATAAGTATACATGTTATGAATGAACAAGCAGAGTAGCGCGGAAATGAATAACGAAGTGTTCAATCACTGAATGACGATACAAGGAATGGCAATCCAAGATATAGGAACACCAGAGCTAGTCTAACCATGCGATCGTAAGGTTCGGGAAAGAGATCGAAGGGTCTCGAAGTGACGAAGCGAGGCCCGGAGAACTCCCGAAGGTCGAACTAGCAGGTCTGGAGAGGCCGAGGCGGTTCTGTCAGTAAGGTCCGGAACAGTCCCGAGGCTTCGGGTGTGTTCGAGCGTACGCGGTAGCAGTACCGCTCGGTAAGGAATGGAAAATTCCTTACACCACCCCCCCCCTTAGCGAAGGTGGTCTATATCAGCCACGTGCTTGCGGGCCAAATAATTCGCAAGTATCGAAGGTGACTGTATCTGGTCCGAAGGCACCCACGTGTCGTCCTCACTGGTACGATTGGTCCATCGTATCAGAAAATCAACGTGTCGTCCTTGGCCGTCGATACCAATCCGATGGCTCAAAATCTTCGAAGGCTCGATGGTCGTCTCGGCTGGTGGCCGTACATCTGGGGCCAATCGCTATCGGGCGATGTCCGACGTGTCCGGAACAAAGGGTCGCAACAGGCTCACATGGAACTTGTTGTGAATACGCCAGTCATCAGGTAGGCGCAACTGGGCGGTCACCGGTGTCACCATCTTCATGATCTTGAATGGGCCACTGAAACGTTGTCGTAATTTCGTCGGAAGTGGCAGTCGTAAATTCTTTGTGTCCAACAGGACTAGTTGCCCTGCTGCCATCGTAATATCCCGTCGATGTAAATCTGCATACCGTCGGGCCGTAGCGTTCGCCTTGCGAATAAGTTCGACAGCTTTGTCTCGAGCAGTCTGTAATTCTTCGACGAACTGCTGCGATCGTGGTACTTAACTCTCAACGTTGGTGGAGACTTGTACTGTAGGGTCTATCCCGTAATTGAGGTAAAACGGGGAGTGATTAGTCGTAGCTGAGGGCCCGTTGTTGTAGGAAAATTCCAACATCAGAAGCACGTCCTCCCATTTTTTCGGTCGGGGCAGTTTGTCCGAATCAGCTGCTCCATCATTTGATTTGTCCTTTCAGTCTGGCCGTCCGTTTGGGGATGATACGCGGATGAGAACTGCAGACGCGTACCGTACCGAGCCCACGTGTCTTGCCAGAATTTCGACGTGAACTTCGGGTCTCGATCACTAATGATTGCTGCTGGTATCCCGTGTAGGCGAACAACGGTCGAGATGAACAGGCGCGCGGTTTCTTCGGCTGTGATGGTTGTACGACACGGTGCGAAATGCGCCATTTTCGTCAAACGGTCGACGATAACCAGAACTGTGTCGTTTCCGCTGGGTCCGGCCGGTAGACCTGTAACGAAATCCATCGTCACGTGTTGTCATGGGCGTTGAGGTGGCTCGAGGGGCTGCAATAGTCCTGTAGGTCACTGGTGTGATGACTTCATTTGCTGGCATATTGGATACGCTGCCACATAACGCTACACGCCCGTCACCATATCTGGCCAGTAATAAAACCGCTGCAATGCCTTCAGAGTTTTATCAACCCCTATAAATTTGAATCGTGGACTTCTTGAATTAGTAATTCGCGAAGTAGACGATAGCCTGGGACCCAAATTCGATCCGCCCCGCTTCGTACGTAGGAGGCGCCTTTCCGTGTAGTGATTGGGAGATGGCCGTCATTTACGAAGAAGAGGTCAGTTGAATACCCGTGGATAAATAGTCCACTCAGTAGCGGATTGCTCTGGGCGATTAGTACTGCTGCGAGTTGGGCAGATGGTCTGGAGAGAGCGTCGGCAATATTGTTGGCGCCCTTTTTATCCGGGATCTTGTACGTGAAGTTGGACTCCAGATAGTCCAACCAGCGTATCTGCCGTGGGTTGAGATTCGGCTGTGCTCTCAAGTACTGTAGATATTTATGATCGGTTCGCACCGTCACGTCTGCTCCAGTCAGGTAGCACCTCCAGATTTTGAACGCGTGGACAATCGCCAGCATCTCCTTGTCGTGTATCGGGTAGTTGCGCTCGGCAGATTGCATTTTGCGAGACTCGTACGCGATTGGTTGAAGACCATTGCCGAAATCTTGCATGAGCACTGCTCCCATGGCGATGTCACTTGCGTCGGTGATGACTTCGAAGGGCCGGTCTGGGTCAGCGATGCGAAGTACCGGTGGTGACATTAAAAGATTTTTAATGCCTCGAACGCATCTTGCTACTTCTCCCCCCACTCATAAAAATTCCCCTTCTGAAGTAGGTCGGTTAGAGGTCCAGTTAACCCCGCCATGTTGGGTATAAATCGCCGCACGTAATTCACGAAACCTAAAAATGATTGCAGCTGCTGCAGATTTGTTGGCGGTCTCCACTACTGAATAGCCCGAAGTTTTTTCGGGTCTCTTTGAATCCCCTCTGTGGAGATCACGTGCCCCAGGAACTCTAGTTATTGTTTTAAAAACTCGCACTTGGAGCCTTTGGTGATGAGACGATGCTGCTGCAGCCACTGAAAAACCGCTTCCAGGTCCTTTAAATGTTGCTCCCGGGTCGTGCTGTAGATCAGGATGTCGTACAGGTAAATGATCACACATTTGTCGAGTAGATCGCGGAACACCCCGTTCATGGTGAGTTGGAACGCCGTGGGGGCGTTCGTTAATCCAAACGGCATCACCGTGCATTCGTAACTCCCGTAGCGAGTACGAAACGCGGTCTTGTGGCAATCGTCAGCGAACACCCGAATTTGATGGTAACCGCCGCGAAGGGCGATCTTCGAAAAATAGCGAGCTCCGCGAAGGTTGTCAATCAGCTCGTCTGTGCGTGGAATTGGGTAGTGCGATTTTATCGTTACCCGATTAAGAGCTCGATAATCCGTACACATGCGAAGTCCGCCGTCCTTTTTAGGGGTGAACAGGATCGGTGTTGCGAACGGGGACGTGCTTGGCCGAATAAACCCCATTGCCAGCAGGTAGTCCAGCTGGTTTCGTAATTCGTGTAGCTACGGCTGAGTCAGGCGCCATTGCGTGCGTACAGTAGGCTGCGTGCCGGGCTCCAGCTCAATTTTGTGGTCCTGGGGTCGTTCGGGTGGCAGTCCACATGGCAGGTCGTCCAGGAAAATTTCAGGATATTCCCGAATGATTTTCGCCAAGTCATCCGGAACCGAAGCGCAGAGTTTGTTGATGTCGGCCGCCTCGTTCTGCTCCGTCGATTCGGTTAGATGGACGGCGTATAAATCCGCTCCATTCTTGACCGCTCGGTTGAGGCACACAGCGTTGACCCGTGTCGATGTTGTCTCTGCTTCCGGCCACGTGGGTAATTTTCGCCAGCCCTTGTCGCATTTCACTGTGCACTCGCCTGTTGTCCAATCGATCTGCGGGTTGAATCTTCGCAGCCAATCGCGTCCCAATAGCACATCGTAGCCGTCGAGTGTTGTCGCCAGCATCAGCGCGCTGAAACCGAAATCTTCGCCACACTTCATTCGAACGACGGGTACTTTGTCGCGTATCGCCAGTGGGGTGCCATCCACCAATCGCGCGTCGATTTCGGGCAGACACCTCTCCAGCGTCAGGTGTAGTCGTCGTGCTGTCTCTCGATTTATCAGGCTGTTTCTCGCACCTCCGTCGATGAATATTTTTGTTTTTCTTCCGTTGAGTCGCCCCTCCGCCAGTACAGGGTGGTCCACTGGGTCATCCCCCTTATTCAGCCGAGAGCGGTTGATAGCGTGTATCGGAACCACTACTCGGTGGGGATGGTGTTTTTCGGGCGATGAGGCAGGGTCAGTAGGGGGCCCGACCGCTACTGACGCTTGGCGTTTCCCGACCTGCCTTCGTCGTCCTTTTTTTTTTGCTTCCTTCGGGGGCAATCGTGAGATTGGTGACCCGGCTGGTGGCAGTTGAAACATTGTCCCTTGCGAAAATCTTCCATGTGCTCCCTTGCCACTACGCCATGAATCGTGGGCCATGGATCCTGTCCACGAAAACGATTTCCCTCCCGGGAACCCGCTCTCGCATACGTCCGATGTGCGTCGAAGTTGTCTGCGATCCGGCGCAGGTCCCCGCAGGTCCCCGCAGTAATGATACAGCCAGCGGAGATGAATCGAGCTTGAAGCTCCAAGAAGAAAGCTTCAAGCCCGAGATGAATCGAGCTTTCTTCTCGTTGTCATGCATGTCGGTGATTTGATCGCATAACGCCATGAAGACCGACGCGTAATCTTGGACAGAACTCCACTGGCGCCAGTTGTCCTACTTCGTATGTGCATTGTCCGAGGCGGATATTGGCTCGAACCGTTCACGCAGAGTTGTACCCCACGCCTTCCACGTGCGAATCTTGGTCAATCCGAAAATCGCGGTTGACCCTTGGGCCGCAAACCGAAAGTTTCTGAAAACCCCTGTGTGTCGCGTGCCGAAAACTCCCCCTCCTGTAGTGTATATCGCCACCAATCTAGCGCAGGTCCCCGCAGTAATGATACAGCCAACCGTATTTTTAATTCGTCAGCAGTGATTCCAGCCACATTAAAATACAGCTCCGCCGAAACTAACCAGCCCGTAACAGTTGTATTCTTATCTGTGGGGTTGAACGGGGGCGGCATTGTCGGTTTGATCGTCGCTGTCGTCATTATTGGCATAAACACCAGTGCGGCTACAGTAGCAGCTGCTTGTGATCAAGCGGCTGCGGCTGTTGCTGCTGCTGCTGCTGCTGCTGCTTCGGCTACTGCTCATGCTGCCACGTCAGCTGCTGCGGCGACTTCACTGTCCTTGCGCTCTTGTGACACCTCTCTCCTTAAAGCCCCAAAAAAAAAATAAAAAAAATTGTGACACCTCTCGTGCGATTTCGTCCAAAACGGTTTCGACACGTCCGGTGCTGGCGACCTCCTCTTGGGCAGCAGTTTTCTGACGCAAAT